TGAAAGGCCCATGATTTGCCAACAAGGTAAACTCCCCATTTTGGCGAAAAGAGATATATACAGCCAGTTCACGACATTCGGGCAGACTCTAAGATACTTAGAAACAATCGACACCACTTTGCGCGCTCTAACACGCAATACTCGACATTCTTGATACACCAGTGCGGTCCAGTCAGCAATAATCGACACCACAAATAAAGCGCGATCACCATCGCGACAATAAGTAGTTGGCACATACACGTGAAATAATTACCAACGCCAACCCGACCTTCGAACCACAAAGAAGTGCGGGAAGCTACGTTAACAAAGGCCACATTATTTAAGTAGTTGTTTATACTAACTCCGATGTCTTTACTCCAAACTGCGGGAAGCTGCGTTAACAAAGGCCACATTATTTAAGTAGTTGTTTATACTAACTCCGATGTCTTTACTCCAAACGACAGTGTGGCTAAGGCTATCCCACATTTGCAACAATCGGTCGTAGCCTGCTGTTGCAAATTGCGGCAAAGTTGGATGGGCAGCGAGTCCCCAAACTTCCTCAGCGTGTCCCAGCATCGCTGGATTGAATCCCATTCTCACGTCACCTACTAAAATGCAATTTCTTGTCGTTCCGATTAACAGCTGTGAACCTCTGCCTTCTGCAAGTGTTCGAATTCCTCCAAAATGATCCTCAATCTAGTGGAATACAAGAAAATTATTACCGTTAAAACAAAGTTAAGAAGAGTAGAAGAAAACAGGTGTGAATATTGTAAATTAATACAAATTAGATAATTTAATAGTTAAAAGCATTGTAAATAAATATCAGGTAGACACATTCTTTGGATAATTGCAACAGTAACATTTTTCTTTATTGCTTGAAAACAATTGTTTAATAAAAGCAACGTGGTATATACAGTATGTCCGGTTTATCTCGGAACACTGAAATATCTCGAAAACTACGAATGATACAAAAAATATAGGTAGATACAAGTATGGAGTTTTTTTAAAAATGTCCTCATTTGAGATGTTTCCATTTAAGAAACTTAAACATGACCCTTACAGGGCTTTTCAAGTTTATTTCAAGGTCAAACAACTACCATGACAATATCTAGCCCTCTATTCCCTACAATTTTCGTCTGAAATATTTTTTTGTATCATTCGTAGTTTTCGAGATATTTCAGTGTTCTGAGATAAACCCTATAGGGTGTCCCACGTAACTGGGTCAAGCCGTAACGTTAAAAGGGTAGAAGATAGAGCGAAATTTCATTAAGAAAGATTTAATGGTTTCGAGTGCTGCATCACATGGTGCGTGTATCGTTTCCGAAAGTGGAGGAGTTTCAAATATTTCAAAGTCACCTCTGTTTTTTTAAATAGAACTATACATTTTTTATCGACCATTCGATGCATTTTTTAATTTTCTACAAAACAGTATTAAGGTACTTGGGTGGAGAAATGTAGTTTAAAAGATATTTTAGCTTCAGTTTCTCAAATACCTAGGCTTGAACGTTTTTTCTTTACGTCTAAGAAGATAAAACATCTTTTAAACTAATCATTTAAATCAATCATTACTAATTACTAATTAGTAATCTCGTTAATCTAACTATTGATCAATTTTCACAATTGCTTACGGAATTGATTAGTAAAAGATAATGTAAATCTGACGAAGCAAATGAATAATTATTGTATTTTATTGTAGTATTTTCTGAGGCTTACTTGTGCTTCTTCTTCCGTCAAATTCAAAGATTCGTCGAAGTATAATATTTTGCCGTCTTTGCCACCACCGGTGACAATAAAACCATCTTTCAGAACACAAATTGAAAATATAGATCCCTCGTGAATGTTCCTCACGATTTTAGAGATTGTATTTGTTCCTGTACAAAAACATTTTATGATTACGAATATAGGGGGTGCTCCAATTTCATTTTCCCGCGATATTATTTCTATATGTAGACATATACAGTTCGAACGTAGAAAACAAGGTTCGATTTATTTGTTTTTCACATTCAGATTAAAAAAAGAAATGTTTCACGTCTGATCCTGTAACTTTACTTTTATATAACTTTTCTATCTTGAGAAGTTTCAAATTTTCAAAAGTATTTGGGTGTAACTTCTTAAATGTTTCATAGTAAAATTTCACTATCGGTTTTCATATTTTCATCAAAATGTATCACTATATTTCATTTTGCAACGTGAAAGTACGCGGTCTATCGAGCAATTATCTTGAAGTGATGAAAAATGTAAAATGTGAAATGTTAAAAACATTTCACGTGACGCATGTTTTTCTGATTATTTTCGTAATTATATTTGTTTTCCAATGTAACAGAAATAAATTATTGCGATTTATACAGAGTCCGGTGAAAAAGACCCGACCTGATCTCTTTTAAGACATATGTATGCTTTATATCTTTTTCATTAAAGATAATAGATTTAGTTAACACGTTGACTGCCACATTGGTCACCTGTGACGGGAGATTGTTTCCTCGATGGGGCCACAGTGGTCATCAGTGTCTCAAATGCTTAGAATAATTAAAATAAAATGAATGTCGTCAACTAGAAATTTCGAACATAGCTAACTAGACATTATTTTGAATTTTAAAAAAAGTAATAATAAAGCATAATATATTACTACGCTTAGAATAATGAAAATTTTCTTCTGGTCCCCTGAGCACAACATGTAAATCTGGCGGGGCAGTCAACGTGTTAAATGAACCTATACTATAAAAGATTACCATACAATCTGCTGTAATAGAATCCTTACTAGAATATGTTTATTAGTACAAAAATCGTCAGATTTTTTTTTATCGAACCCTGTACCAATGTCAATTCAAAACACGACGAAATTTTTGTACATCTTTTGTGACGAGTGAAAAGTAGTTCTGCGCTTAACGTATTAAAAAATAACCAAATTTTTCTCACCTCTGCCCCAAACGATGATGTTACCGTTGCTGTCGCCGGTAAGAACGTCACCACTCTGATTGAACGCCACGCAGGTGACATATCTTGGCTTTTCCCTGCTCTCAAAAATGCCCATACGCTTGTACAGCATACCACCGTTATCGAGTGACCAAAAAGACACGTGTCCCTTCCCACATGACACGATCTGGTTCCGTTCCAGCGGATGCCACTCGGCGCATACCACCGTGTCCACGGAGCACTGCAATTGACAATCGTTGTTCATTAAATCACCCGGTTCCGGTTTCGCATACTCGAATCACTCGAGAAAGCATGTATCCTTATGGGCGAATTTCTTTTTATTTCACTGATCCATTCGGTTAGAGATGAGATCGAGTTCAACGTACAAGGTGTTCAGTAAATACAGCTCGGCAAAGTTGCCATATTCCGAGTGAGAAAGTAAAAAAGTGATATAAAGAGTTTCAATATAATATAAGAAAAACAGCGAAAGATCATCAACAATAATGGAAATTATTTCGATGATCGATCTGTTTTCATTCTTTTTGTATAAAACTTTCATTGTACCCAAAAGTCGGCAAGAATTCATACTTTCAGTTAACGATTAAATTTCTTATTGAGGAATTTTGTTCGTCATGTATCACGAATGATTCGATGAATGAAACAGATTATTACAGTTTAGAAGCATGCAAAATTATTTGACCAATGTCAGCCACGTGAAAAGTGTCCTAGATAACATTTTTGCAACAGAGCAAACTAATTTTATCTAATTAGCAGAAGGGTCGCGAAATGTAGAAAATGAGGGAAAATACATAGAAGATTAGTAGTTTCGATTATGCTTTTATAATTAATCTTAAACAAATATGAAAGGAAATTCGTCTTGCTTATGGGGTGACCTAATATTAAGCAAAGATGATTATTTTTATAAAATTGTGTCTTCAAAAATTAAACCGAGTTAATTCTTTGAAGGGCAAAAACTAAATTATTCTAATCTTAATTTCTGCTGATTTAATCAATCTAACGTGAAAAAGAAAATTTATTGTAGCATGATAGACTCTAACGAATTTTATAAAAGTATTATGGTATATATTGCTAACTTAAAGTGTAACTTAGCTAATTGTAAGTAGGGAATCGCATATTTTTAAACAGACTTTACAACTGTGGGAATAGAATTTGAATTTCGCTAAAGTGTCTTATTTTGAAGAAAATTGAAATTAATTTTAAGTTAATGAAAATATTTCATGATTATATTTTGCGTTTATTATGTTTCACACCGACGATAAATTTGAATAAGAGTTACTGATTTAAAAGTTAAAAATAAAAAATATTTCACTATACAAAATCACCAGTGCAATGAAAATATATGTTGTTTTATATATTATATAACTTTGATATACTAGGTGTCATGTAACTGAAAAGCTGAATCGAAAATATAGAATAAAATTTTTCAATAAGGGGTTCAGTTTTCGAGAAAATTCAATTTATTCTTTTCAGAGGATTCGTTCTTTTAGCTGCATATTTGTTTACACTATAGACCATTTCTTTGCGAAATGTGGCATCACCACTGTATGTATCAACATAAAAGTACAAGTAGAAACAACAGGTTCCAACAAATCTTTGAATTCAATTTTCTCGGAAACGAAGCCTCGTACGAAAAAATTTTACTCTATATTTTCAATTTAGTTTCTCATGTAGAATCACCACCTTCTAGCTTGCACCACCAATTATACGACACCCTGTATATTATTCAAATGTTTATGTGAAAAATACTGCATTACTGTTGAAAGTACCGATTGTGAAGGTGAACATATTAATTAGGACATACCTTCGTTTCAGTCACCTTGGTGCCCCGTTCTCCTTTCTGCCAATCCCAGATCGAGATGTTGTGATCAGAAGTCTCGTCGATCGCACACAAGTAATTTCCACCGTCTGCTTTCGAAAATGAGAGGCAACAAATCGAACCATCGAACTCACCATTACCAATTACACAAAGGGTAGTTAAACTGACTGAATTCCATATCCTTATATGTGGCTAAGAAAAGTTTATACATAATAACCACCTTTTAGTATATATTGTTTTTATCGAAACACTTTATACTTTGTGAATGTATCGTATACAGGGTGAACCGCCTAATGTGATCACCTTAGATTATTCTGTTGTTAGCGGACCGATTGAAATTCCTTTTTTGTGTTGTATAATATTCAGAGCGTCCTTCAGGATGATTATAGTACACTTTTTTCAGTCCACTTTTTTCTTCTAAGTTTGTAAAGTCACCTTCGATTTCTTATAGATAAACCTACACTTCTCTTACGCCCATATTTTAGCGGATGTTGGGACGAATTCAACGAGTATAATAAAATATGTATTTTCTTTTTTATCTGAAGGAACGATACGGCGAAGAAGGATGCACAGGAAATAGTGACTTTTGTGACACAGGATAACATACGATGTCTGTAATTTTAAGTCTCAAAATTACGCAAATTCACAGTGTGTTCAAAATCGTTCCTATCAGCTGAAATACACTCATGTATTTAGACGGCAAATAGATGACTGCTTAGTTCTTTCTATGACATCTGCACTAGGATACTTTTCCTACTGCTTCTTTAGTTCAGATGGAGAAAAAGATATTTTATAATGCTCGTCGAAATCGTCTGGACATTCGCTAAACAATGTTTATTTATAAAAAAATTGAAGGTGACCTTGGAAACGTCGAAAAAAGTGTACCAATATAAAATCTGATCGGTCCACTAACGACAGAATAATCAACGGTGATCGCGTTAGTAGGTCCACCCTGTATCGTTGTATATGGGAAGTACAGCAGGGGTGGATTCGAGACACTAAAATAAGGTAACAGAGTTACAGCTTGTTTAGTTTTTCTGCAAGATTTTAAGGTTATAAGATTAGACAAATTTGTAAACAGTACCAGGTGTATTACACAGACTATATTCAGTGCAGGAAGATGTACTTATTATGAATTAGCGATAATCGTAAATTTGCGTAGAAAATAATGAGTTATTGAAACAGTGAAATGGCCGATACTGAAACTGGATTTGGTCACTTGGAGCAATTTTTCTGAAGGTAAGTAAGCAACTACTACGACATAAAACGAGCTGTAACTCGAAAACAAGGTCACATCAGGAATGAGTACGTTTATACGAACTTTCTTTCTTACTTTAGTGTGCTGAATTCAGCCCTGTTGTATTCCTCACGTACAACGAGACACCCTGCATATATTGTAGATGTTCTTACCATAGCATCTCGTCTATCGGTTCCACATACTTGACCAGTGGCGACCACCAGTTTGTTTGGATGAATTGCTATGCTGAAATATAATTGAAATAATATGAAAGAATATATAAGATTCTCGTTGGACATAAATTTACGAATATTTATGTTCGTTGCAAAGAAGGTTTTTAATATTTATTTTTGTAACTGTATAAGGCAGAGCAGATTTTACTTGAGATATTTGTTTTTACGAGAAAGCTTTTATGGAACGATATTTTCATCTATACTATGTTTCGAATTTATGTAAAGTAAGACATGGTTATTAGTTGTTTAGGAAAAATTATTTCGATACCAATTTAAAATTTACCAGACAAGGTATAACATGCTTGAAAAGAAATATAATTTGTAATCACATTAAGTAAGAACATAATTAGAGACTGGACATGAAAAAGGCTGTCTGCACCAAAAATACAAATTTCAAGGAAACAATTTCTTGGTTACGAAAATGTTATAAATCTTATTTTTTACACACATCACACTACTTTATATAATTTTACAATTTTTTATTTTAATATTTTAAGGTCTTATTAATTATCAAAAAGTCGCAGCTACAACCACTGACACTTTGGCCCCCTTTTGTTTCCAGTTTTCAATTCAAATCATAATTCACTAACAAAAATAAACTGCAATTAACTGAACAAACGAAAAACTATTGCGAAAGTAAATCTACAAATACTATTGCAATAAAGTATTCATAAAAGCGGTCCAAAAAGGTAAGCCCGAAAATGTACTTTAATATAAAACTTCATCAGTACATTATGTAGATCTTTACTTTATCATACCAACATCGCTAATTGTCTTCTAAGTAGGCGTAAAGAAATATAAAGCGTACGAAACGAAATCCATTTTATAAATGAACAGCATAATTATCGAGAAAATTATTATCCCAGTTTTGCTTCTCTTCTTCACAAGCGAAGCGTCTCAGATCTCATTTTTACGAGTAAACGATCCCATTTCAGATAAAATCTAATTAATCAATATTTCTCTGACTGAAAAGTACAAAAGAAAGCGCGCGAGCCGGTATATACGCTGCCATTAGTTCCGCATGAGCATTAAGATCGACGTGGCAGATCTGTATAAATTCAATTAACCCACCATTTGATATCGTCCGTGTGACCTAAGTAGTGCCTCTGGCTGTGCTCCTCCATGTTATACAAGACCACCACCGCTGCAACGAAGTAAACGGTTTCTCCGGTCGGCAATAAATACAGATTGTTTCGACAGTCCCTGCCTCGGTAGCCGTACACCCAGTCGAGTTTTAGTTTGCTCTGGGGTGGTGTGTTGACTTTGTGAAGGTCGTACGATTCCACCAGAGGTGTCGGAACGTAGAGAACGACGGGTCGTCCTCGTAGGTACATGCGGACGGTGTTTTCCTCCTCGTTGTACTGCATTTCTCTGGTGCTGCAAATTCACGGGCATTCCGTTTGAATCGTTTCTCGAAGTTGATCTTTCGATGGTATTTTAGAACACGTGATTACGGTTGGACGTTGAAGTGAGGGTTTGTAACGAGCGTAGATAGAAAATGTAGATCTGAAAATAGTCGATTCTGAAGCTTTATGCACCTTTAGGAATTTACGGTTTTCATTATATAAAGTGTATAACCATATGCAGCGGTGTTTGTAGGGTGCGGCAAGTAAGGCACGTGCCCCGAGCGCCAATGCCGAGGAAAATAGCGTTTGTTGAGTAAATTTATTTTGAGGATTGGTGTTAGTAGTTTACCCTTGTTGTTCGTGTGTTTCGCATGCCTCTTTAGCCGCTTTTCTCCGGAGTCAAAATCGTCTTTAACAAAGAAGTAGAAAAGAAAAGGTGGAATTCGAATGATATGCATTTGGGGAAGGAATTTCACGCTTGCCCTAAACAGGTTTTGTTTGCGCTAGATACGCCTCTGACCTCTGATTCATTTTCAAATATTATGAATCATATGTTACTGATACACTGGTAGCGCAATCTCCAGTATTCTTATAAGGACTCCTACAATTCTTCAGGTGTTGTTTTCGAATATTTGGAAGAAGGATAAAACACATCGGGCATTCGGTCCTAAAAGACCATTGTACCCCGGCCCGAAAACTGTCCCATTACATGGGGTTGTCCAGGTATTGAGGCCTTCTGCGAGAAGTGTAAAAGCCCCTTTACCATGACAACCCCTATTTTGAGCGAGCCGAGAGATGGGGCTTTTAGACATTTTAGTCCCGCGGCCTTCAACCACTCTGCATCGCCTAATTAGATTCTAAAAAAGTCACTTTAGATTGAACAATGTTATAATCGTGAGTTTAAGTATGTTAAATGTCTAATAATACGAAGGGTGTTTCCCTTAACTCGCAATGTTGGAATGTAACATGAGGGACTTATCGAAAAAATGCCAACCAGCGATTCAGGCTTACTTGACTACTTAGGAAGTCGTGAATTTGTAACATTTTACAACAATAAATTACCTCATATGACTCAACGAATGTCATCGTACTATGAAAAAAAAAAAAATGTGGTTCCATTTAAGAAATAAATTTGACTGAAATTTCCCCGTCATCACTTGACCTGCAAAAAGTAATTTGCACCATATAATGTTCCCCTTTATATCAAGCAACTTTTGTGTACAGTTTTTTTATAAGTTCGGTCCTTCACGAGATACATATTTCAACATTACGAGTTAAAGGAAACATCCTGTATATAAAAAATGTATATTCGTAAGTTGTTTTTACATATGTTATTGAACGTTTGATTTCCTATATGACAACAAATTGTTGTCAACATGTTATATAACAACGAATCGTTGGTGTTATTTTAATAACTCGTTTTGGTTGCTAATATGCTGCGTGAT